GGGACATGCTACATGTGAAACCACATGATTTTGCCTTTTAACTCGTTTCCAGAGATTTGTTGAGAGTGAATACACTGTGGCTTTAACTTACCAATTCATCATTTCATGCCCCCACTGAACCCACTTGAGTAGACAACTGATTGTATATCTTCAATCAGTTGTATTTCCAAATAGTGCATTCMTGGTTTCTTGCATTCATATAAGTTGAGAGCAAACCACCTGCTGTTTTTGACACACAATAGAAAGGCAGAGACCAAAAAAACTTGTTTGTGTTCATTCACTTTCATCCCTTCACATGGGCTGCTCCTGCTTATGACTCTCAAATACAATGAACTGATACATATAGACATATAGTCTTCATAATGACATCACATTAGTGTCCCACATGCACATTTCAGTGTGCATTGGGAACATCTTTCATATTTATCATGGAAAATATTTGTGGGGTGCTGCTGTGAATTCCTCTATGATAACCAATTTGTACCTGATCAAAATTAAAAAAGGGACTATATATATCCATATAAAAATTAGAGAGAATGAYGGTTCAACCCAGAATCAGAATTTATAAGCTCAAAGTACTATCAAAGTAGGTGCCAATTCGAAAATGATACTAATTCATGGGCGAACATTGATGCATGAAATGACGGTTCATCCCTTCATTCAAGAGAATGACGGTTCATCCCTTCATTCGTCTCACATCCTGTTTGAACGGTTCTTGACAATTAAGGACCAAGGAAAATAGCTAAAACTGAAGTCTGGCCAAGAAATGGCCAATTACATGTAAATAGTTTTTTTTTTTCTTGTAGAAGAGAGTTAAGGAAGAAAAAAAAGGAGATTTCTTCCTCTATATATGAACAATTTTCAATACAAAATTTTCTTCTCATCAATGATTTGAATTCTACAGGAATAATCTAATTCTAATTTCTCTTACTTCTTTTCTTCTTTTCAATGGTTTAATTAATTCCAATTTTACATTTTTAAATTTGATTTTGCGGGATCTCACTTCACAATTCCAACTAATGTCATTTATATCACTCATAATAATCACATCAAGAGAAGATGTACAAAGTAAAATGTATATAAAAAAAAAAAAGGAGAATGGAGAAAACATACTCTGAAGCGAAATAAGGATATTACGTACCATCGATATACAGGGGTTGTGAAGAGAGTCTCAGTAGTTAACTAGTTATGTAACTCCATCTAGGTTAATCCTCTATGTTGATTCCAGATTCAAATTAAGCTATTAATTAAGCTTAGCATGAATGATAAGCATCATTAATTGCTATTAAATTTTTATTATAGTTTGATTAGGGTGAGTTCCACTCTCTCACGAATTCACATCAGTGCCCCATAAAGGGGGCGCCCCACACAGGCGTAGACTCCAGCCAAGCTGAATGCCTATTAGATTTCAATTTGATAGAAAAATATGAGGTTTGAGCTCGATTCGAATTAAAAATGTGAATTTGAATTCAACTTGACTCAAAAGCTTAGATGTCAAATATTGGCTCAGCCTGATCTTGTATATATAAGTTCGGTTAAACTCTCAAACTTCACAAGCCATGATTGAGTTCGTATTTGGCACAATTAACAAATAAGTCTATATATTGGGTTTGAGCTTAATTTAAAAGATGGATTAAATTGAAATGAAATGAAATAATTTTCACAAATTGAGCTCAAAATTGCTGGTGAAGAGCTCAGTTAATATCTACCCCTAATTGCAGTGTGCAAATTGGTTAAGTCTAAATTTTGGCTAGATTTGACCTTGCTTTATTTGTTTGTGTAAAGTAAATTAAGATGTAAAGTGGTATGTGTCCTACCTTATACACAAGACTAACAAGAGAATGAAGAAGATAAAGGGTTATTTGTTTTGTAGTGGAGTAAGAAGTAAGATAATATGGTCCTCCTCACTTTATATGAGAGAAAATTAAGGTAGGAAGAAGGTGGTGCAACGGTTTTTGAAAGAAATGAGACAAAATTTACATTGCTAATAACAAAAGATACAAATTTTATATAAGGTAAAAGTGTAAATAATAATTACAGAACAAGAGATGCAAAACTAAACTGATCATAAAATTTTCAGATTTGCACTACAATCAAATGCAGCCTCAGTTAAATCTTCTCATAGACTGCATGTATACATAC